TTTTAAGTATATGTTGTATATATAAATGAGATGAAGTAACAATTTTTCTTTAAATAAGATGTATATAAATTAATCAATAAAAAATAATTAGAAATATAATGCGAGTGATTTTTTTTTATTGATTTTAGTTAAGATGCAATATACAATGGTAATTAAATAATAATAATAATAGTTGTAGCAACAGCAATTCACGAATAAAATGCATTTACAATTCCATCAATTTCTAATTCTGAAATAAACTCAATCACTTTTATATCTTTATGAGAACTTTTATCACGCAAAGCTGATTCACACATTGTATTAGCTCCAACAGGTTTAACGCTGCTGTCAATTGTCCCAACCGTGATATGCGGTATCTCATTGATACTTTTGATAAATGGTTCTATTCCCTTTACAACTAAAGCCATTTTTTCTCCATCAAATATCAGTTTATCAATATATAATTTTACTTGTGTTTTCAAATCGCACAAATTTTTACATTGTTCCCACATTTCTTTAATTTCTTCTGATGGATTATTTTTTAATAGATTTCTATGAATAAGTGTTACGTGACCATCAATCTTGATACGGTTGTTTTGTCGTAACTTATGGAAAGTTCCAGAATCAACGTTTGGATTTTCTCTAAAGAAATCAGCAAGAAAGTTTTCCATGTCAAAATTTACGAGTTTAACCCCATAATAAACAGGTGGTTTATTTCTAGGTTTATTGGTCTTTTTTGGTGACAACGATGGTGTTGGATTGTTTTTGTAGGGGTCAGGAGATGGTAATGTATCCTTGTATCTGTTTAATTTCTCGGGAGATCTTTTTTCAATAATATTATGAACAGTTGGTTCATAATGTGTTGCTTCTTACTATGGCCAGAGGACTATTTACTAGAAAAGCTGAAGATGGAAGATATGAAATTGTTATTCGTGGTTATAATAAGTTTTTTAACGTTGGTGAAGTGAAAACGGTAATTGAACTGTTTTATCAAATTTAAATAGACCTTTTTTAGAACAATAAATAATAACTACAATGTATCTAATTAGTGGAAAGACCTAATGTCACATACTGAAGGTCCTTATGAACTCACAGTTAAGGAAAATGGGTGTGTTATATTCATTGGAGGGCTTCCTGGTGGTCACCTTATTGTAACTAGTAAACATTCAACAGGAGAAAGACAAGGAGTCATTGCTCATGCAGTCAAAGGCACAGAATGGGTGGAAAGACATCTTGCTAGCACAAAAAAATCACCAAATGACCTTGCAAATTTTTTGTATAAAAATAAATTGACGGCAGTAGCAGAGGTTATAAATTATTCTTAAAATCTTGATTCATTTGATTATTATCATATTTATTAAACAATGATTTTTATTATTGTTAA